AACAAGACTGGGGTTATCTCCATGCAAATAAGAGTCTGAAAGTTACCCCCCCTTGAGCAAGACTTCTGCCTCTCAGGACAGTAGTGAGCTAGTCACACCGCCCAGAGTCATCTGGGATTCCCCCCTTCAAAGCTAGTTTTCTGAACCATGCATGAGCTAAATCAGAACTCTGGAGTGGCTGTCCTAGAAACTTCACTACAAACAAATTTCTCTTGCTGACACTTAAATAACTTAGCAGAGTGGAACCTTAGTATGTAGAGTATTTTGCCATCCTCATATATATGTGATTTCTTGGTGAGATCAAAATCAATGAGTAAGACATTCCCAGAATGGGGAGATGTACAAATTGTGCATTTAGTCAAGAAACACACACACCTACACTCACATTCATACACTCATGCTCACACACTCACATTCATGCTCACACATGCACATTTAAAGTAGGTGCCAAACAACTACTAGAAGATCAAAGTCAAAGAGGTTCCCCTGAGCTTGGAGAATGGAATGCAGGTTAGCAAGTTAATTGTGTCAGAGAGGGAGTAAGTCTTGAATAATAAAAATAATAATAATAATAATAATAATAGTAATAATAGTAACATTATAGTGCCTCTGATACTCTTGTTTAAACATCATCCTTTGAAATATTACAAATGTATTTGTTTGTAGTAAGTAACTTTCAATGTGGGAAAATATCATGTCTATTAGCTATGAAAAGGAAATAATCAAAATACCAAAGCTGTACTGCCTGTCACCTCTTCTATATGGTGATAATCTGTATTAATAATTGCCAGAGGTGAACTCCCTTTCACATAACAAGCTTAAAGGTGTTACTCTATTCATGGTTTCCATGGAAAAGCCTGCCAATTTGGGGATTTTTAGAAAACCCAGTTAGGTACAAGTTTCTCTTGCCCTCCCATGTTAACCAAGACACAACATAGCTGCAACTCTATTTTTCAAGGTTCGGATAACCTTTGCAATTAGGATGTCAGGAAATATATATTTCATCACACTCAACTCAGGTCTAGCTAAAACTTTAGTGTTTTAAACTAACTTGTGTTAAAATATTACAAAATACTAAATATCCTAGCACACAGGACCTTTCCTGACTTAATACTCACAAGGAAAGTTAAACAGAATTGAAAAGACATAATAACAGGGATAGAAAATTATGTGTGAAAAATACGAGCAATTTTTTAGCCCCTTTGTTTCCTTGTGTTCAGAAATAGGACATACCTCAGAATATAGGATTCCCATGCCGGTCCTTCCTGGGTTTGCTCCCCCTCTACAGTACGGCAGTGAATCTTCTGGAGGCGTTTTTAATTAACATTAAATTTCTTCCCGGAAAGAAAAGTCCCTGGAAGTCCAAGGCGGTGGCGAGCCCTCTCATTCCACACCTGGGAGTGCTTTCCCAGTCTTCTGTGACAGCAACACACCTTGTAGAGAGACCGGCTGGTGAAGCAAAGGCATTGGCTTACCAGTAATGATGCCGGAGCTGTATCATTATTACAGCCAGGGGAACCGGTTTCTGAGTCATGTGTACTAGGCCAGTGGAGGCCTCTGATAAAGAAGGAAACAAAGGTGGGGAGTTGGGAGGAGGAATTTCTCAGACTAGCAGGAAGAGTTCAAAATAGGACACTGTGTTTAGGAAATTTCTTAACTGAAATCTAGCATTCAGTGGTCATTATGGTCAACCAACACATTAGTGAGAGTTCTGGGGTCTAGTTGTACAAATAATCCCCAAGTTCCTCACAACTCATTGCTAGCAAGTGATACCTGTCCCTGGCCACTTAAGGAGTCCTATAAGGTTGCTAATAAATCAAACTTAACTTATTAATGTAATTTTAACTGGCATGTGGTAGTTACATACATTGACATGCAGTACTATGTGATAATTCAAAACAAGGATTATATATAAGGTCAAATAAGAGTAATTAGCATCTCCACTGGTTTCACTGTAATTCCTGTGTGTTGAGAACCTTCAAAGTCCTCTCTGCTACTTCTTTATAGGAATAAAATCCATAACAAGTCACTCAGGTACTGTGGAACACTAAGGATGACTCCTTCTCTAACTCTATTATGATACTGGTTACTCAACCTCCTCCATCCCCACCAACACCTTCCCAGTTTGCAGTGGTCACTAGTCTACTCCCTTATTATGGCGTTGGGGAGACCAGCCAGCGCCCCACTGTTAGTTCATTTGAGTTGTGTAAGACTACCTTGCCCAAGAGACTTCATTTTACATGCAACACGTGATTCCACTGTGAGAACGGCGATTGACTGTTCATGTTGCTGGACACATAAGCAACACCATTCATCCAATTCCACCTGAGAGGTGCAGGCTGATAAGTAGCTTATTCCTAAAAGGAGGAAAGATGGGACTGCAGAAGCACCTGGGCATATCGAGATCATGGCAGGAAGATGAGGCTGAGGACTTAGCAGACACTTCAAACTGCGGAATGGAAGCAACTCTCTCACATGGTCTCTCTCACATGGTCAGACCATTCATCTGACCTTCTGCCATGTTCATCAACAGACCATGGGATGAGAACTCAGGACTGCCCCGAGACTTCCGCTCAGTTCAGTCTCTATCCTCGATGCAGGCAACCTCAAATTTCTATCCATCCATCTCCTGGCCCTTCCTTTCTCCCGCCAGCCACTGTGGTCCAGATCCCAAGTCTCATTTCTGAAGCTCCGCTCTCACCCTGCAGCCTGTGTCTACCAATACCACCACCACCACAGCAGCCGCAGTGTCTCCAGCCGAATGACTGCTTCCTTATTCCTGCACAGACTCTTGGATGGCAGAGATACATGTGTCACATAGAATGTGTGATCTGAGAGTGAGTAGTAGTAATCTGTTAAGGGCCATGGACCCTAAACTATGGGGTTTAAAAGCCCATCTTTGTAAGTCCTTTTATGATCTTTAAGTTTGCGGCTTAAAGCCGACTCTGTGAGCCTCATGTGACCTATAATTAGATAAGTTTGGCCAAGCAGGATTGATAACGACTGCGTTGCGAGAAAAGGCGTGGGCCTTTCTGCCTGCTGTTTCGAAGATACTGCAAGAATCTACCAGCCCCAGCAAATACCAGATGTTCCTTCCTGCTATCCCCCGCCTGCCTAATTTCCTTGTTGCAGGGCTATATAAACCCACTCTGAACCCCAATAAGGAGAGACCTTGACAATTGCACAGATGGACTCTGGTCCCCTCTTTTGTGCCTCTTGGTCTCCTTCCTTCTCTCGCCCGTGACTCTTTCAGGCAGCCCCCCTTTGGAACCCTGAATGACTGACCCGAGGGACGGGTCAGTAATCAAGACAGATACACTGGAGAGGGCCTAGGTCTTATCCCAAATGATGTGGCAGACTTTGATGATCCCCCACAGGAGGCCTCCCCTCCCTGAGGCCTGGATGGGGGTTGGGATGGGGAGATGGTGGGGGGATGGGAGGATAGGAGGGAGAGGGAACTGAGAACAGTATGTAAAATAAGTTTGTTTTTAATTTAAATAAAAATTAATTTTAAAAAGTAAAAAAAAAGTTTGGAGTAAGAGCATCTGTGCTTGTCTCATGGAAAGGGGAACTTCTTGGCAAATTGATGCCAATAAAACCGATCTATCTTGTGAATTTTTTGTTATAATGAAAAACAACATTGTAGAAAAATACAAATGTTTCTTATATAATATGCTTATGACACATGAAAAATTCCTGAATTGTTGTAAATGGCTCAATATTGTTTCTAAAATCAATTACACATCTAAAAATTGACTCATTAATTATTTTGTCAAGCATGCTAATATGCCAAATCCCTTAAATATTGTAAACATTTTATATGTTGTGTATAGTAACAATTATTCACATTTTCTCTTAAAGGTACTGCTTTGGGTTTTTCCAGAATTAAAGGGCTCTTTCTACACTCTCCTACACACCCATGTAAGAGACAGTGCAACAATCTCAAACTGGTTGATATGGTTTTCCCAAACATCTGAGGATTTTTAAAGGTCAAAAGGCTCGGTTCCTGTACCTATTTAGGAAAACTCATTGATTCCATTGACCAACATATTACAACTTGAAAAAAGAGGGGTTTTGTTTATTTCTGCAGTACCAGCAAATCCAAGCCAGCGCTTCATGTGTGCTAGGCAAGTATTCTATCACTGAACTATATTCTTAGCCTTTTGAATTATCTTAATGATTGTCATTAGAAGAATTATATACCTCTGCTCTGAAGTTGCCATTGAAAGCAGCCTCCCAAGAGTTTAAGAATTACTTAATTCTTAGAGGAAACAGATGCCTTCAATACTCACCAAGATTGCAGTTGACTTCCTCTTCAGTGTGGTTTGATTTTGGTATTTTTTGTTTGTTTGTTTCCTAATTCACTTAAGCATCTTCATTCACCATTTTTCTACTGGAAAGGGCAATCTCTGAAGCAAACCTTCTTAACCCTGTAAGGACGCATTTTGTAGCTTCTATGTTTCTCTCTTTTGTTTCCTAAATGTTTAAGCATCTTATCCTTCGCTTAAAGAAAAACATTCACCCTGTCTCCACTGGGATATTCATTCTCTGAAGCAAATCTTTTGTAACCTGGTAACAACTCCTTGTAGATTCTTCCAACTAATTCATGAAGAAAGAATTCCTCACTCCCCTGCCCTATTGCCAAGGTTGCTGCAGTCTCTTCATCCAAGCTTTCCTCCCTGAGTGAACATTAAAGGTTTATTTAAGTGATTTTCTATTTCACCATGCCTTGTTGATGTCATCCAGTTTGAAAGGAAATGTATACATTTTATTATAACCATGAAAAAGTAACTGCTTCAATGTAGGATTAACTCTGAAACAAAAACAATAAAAAGTCAGTTGCTCCACTACAATTTGTAAAACTACCAGATTGGTTGAATTGAATTTAAACTTCAACTGTTTCTGAAATTGCATGGAACATGTTATACTAAAAGGTACTGCATTGTTTCACTAAAAATTAAGGACATTTGGCAATTCCTGAGGATGCTTTGATGTCATACCTGGGGCCTTGGAGGTTGCTGTATAGCAGGTGGAGGCCAAAGACATTGCTGAGCATCCCGTAGCACAAGACAGCTCATCACTGCAACATCTGTCTAGTCCACAACGGTGGTCAGGTAGAACAACTGAGGTCTAAGCCAATGAGTGGGTTAGAGGTGAAGAACAAGGGCATGAACAGTGATGGCATTAGAATACAAAACAGAAAACTGACCTCATCATAAAGTCTGCTAAAATCTTAACTATTACAGAAGCATGTGGGGTTCACTTTGTCAAACTGAGCCCTTTAGTACAAAGTCACATGAGAAAAAAAATTTCCAGAAACACTTTCTGCCAAGAAATGATGTCTGTATCCAACACTAAGTTAGAAGCTTCCAACTGGTCCTATCTATAAAAGAGGACAACCTGGCTGCCCAGCAACCATCTCCCCCTGAGGGAAGGCAGGCTCCTGTAAGCTGTGTGGTACAGACATCCCAAGAGAGGTTTAGTAGAGTGCTCACAGAGACTCGGGTTTTTCACAAGTTCTCCAACATTGTCTAATGACTTCCAATGGAAGAGATTAAGTGCTGGAATGTGGAGATCAAAAATTATTCATAGTAAAGTTTAATCTGGCTACTGTGTCACGGTGAATACAGGACTACTTCTTTCTACAAATCTCTTTTTTTATGGATGATCTATATTTTGTCTTTTAACTAAAAATTAAGTATAGAATCCAGAGGACAAAGTACAAAAATAAAAACTGATTTACAAAGAAAACTGAGGGGCTGGAGAAATGGCTCAGCTGTTAAGAGCACTGACTGTTCTCCCAGAGGACCTGGATTCAATTCCCAGCCCTCACATGGCAGCTTACAACTGTTTGTAACTCCAGTTCCAGAGGATCAGGCACCCTCACACAGACATAAATGCAGGCAAAACACCAAATGCACATAAAAATAAATAAATTTTAAAAAAAAAAACTGAGACACAATGCCATTTTAAAGACTTCATTTAAACACTGAGCCTGATGGTACATGCAAGTAAGCCCAGGTTCTCTGGAGACTAAGACAGAATAGTAAGTTCAAAGCCAGCCTTACTCAGGTGCAGAGTGAACTGAGGTCATCCTATGCAATGTTCAGGATACGGCTTATATTAATTATAAACTATTTGGCTTAGGTTTCTTATTGGCTAGCTTTCTGTTAATTATAAACCCGTTCTATTAATCTAAGTATTTCCATGTGGTCTTGGCCTACTAGAGAACGCCTAGACATTCTAACTTCCTGGTAGCTACGTGCATCTCCCTGGCAACCCTCTCTCTCTGTTCCTTCTCCCAGAATTCTCCTAGTCTGGTAGCTCTTCCTATACTTCCTGCCTGGTTACATCCTGCCTGTCCATTGGCCAAAACAGCTTGATTCATCAACCAATAAGAGAAACATATTCACAGCATACAGAAGGACGTCCCCCATCAGGCTGAAATCTCAATACTACAGAAAAATGAGGCATAGATCATCTATGCAAACAGTGCTTCCTAAGATGAACAGCTACAAATCAGAAATGGTTCAAGGAGGTCTTGGAGGGCATTACAGGGGAAGATTTTCCTGCAGCACACAGAGAGATGTAATTGTAGCAGCCATTGGTTGCAATTATACAGCTACCATATTGTTTGTCCTGTGGGAAAAGTCTCTAGTTAGATAATGCATCTGGCCATTTCCAGCCAGGTTAGCCTTTACTATTTGCCTTTTTCTTGTTTTTCTTTACTGTAAGAATTTATAAAAAATATCCCAATTTAAATGTTATTTCTGTTTGCAACTCAAACAAGGTTAATATTATTATGAGGCTCCCAGGCTGTTTCTACTAAGCCACTCATCAGTGCTGGTCTAGATTTTTTTTCATTTTATTTATTTTAATTTATTTATTCTATGTACATTGGTGTTCTGCTTGCATGTATGTCTGTGTGAGGGTGTCAGATCTTGGAATTACAGACAGTTATTAACTGCCATGTGGGTACTGGGAATTGAACCTAGGTCCACTGGAAGTCGACTGGAAGGTCCCTGCTAGTCTACATTTTAATGTAATATTTCAAACACTTCCAATTTAAAAAATCTTGACAATCTTTAAATTATTTCAAAATTTTCCAGTAAATAAGAAATTTAGGAAAATGGAAAATTAGCTGTTGTCAACCAGCTCTTAAATCAGGAAATATCAAACTTGTTTGTTTAAATATAAAGTAGGTCACATCATTGTTTAGCACTTAAGCAATACTTAATCCTGTGGTGTGTTTTATTTTGGGTCACAATCTTGTGTTTATTCACAACATCAATTATGATCATGTGCTCTAAGGGAAAAACTAGGAGGACATGCCATATTCAAAGGTCTCTGTCACTGGAGTTTATGATTTGTATATCCTAGTTTGTGAGATGTCAAAGGATCTGAGACAAGAAATTTCACTTACATTTCTTGGTTTAGAAAGAAAAAGAAGCCAGGTACTGTGGCTCACACCTAGAATCCCAGCACTTGGGAGACTGAGGCAGGAAAATCAAGGGTTCAAGGCCATCCTGAGCTACTTAAGAGTCTGTCTCAAAAACACTAAAAAAATAAATAATAAGATAGGTAGGTAGATAGATAGATAGATAGATAGATAGATAGATAGATATAGACAAAACTAGGAAGTAACTCTATTTTTGATCTTTGATAGACAAAACTAGGAAGTAACTCTGTTTTTGGTCTTTTTTTTTTTTCTGGATGGAGGTTTCTGGAGACAGTTAGCTACTCCACAAATTCTACTCCTCCTCTGGTGGCTCAAGAATTAGCCGAATAACTGATACTGTAAGTCTGTTTCCTAGGAAAGTGAATTTCACAGCATGAGACAAGTCCTGGTACTCAGTGTGAGTTTACCAGACAAGGGGAAGAGAAAGCTGCCTACTGTATTTGTTTCATGATAACTTTTCTTTATTTCTGTTGCACTTTACATCTGAAAGGGGATAATGTAATTCAATGGCCTTGTAGGGCTGTTTATTGTGTACATTGTTACTTTTAGCTTACTTTAAGATAAAGAATTACCTAGGGACTTGGGGAGAAAGAGGTCTGCTTTTTAAAACTTGGCTTGGTAAATCATGGATAGTAGTTCTAAATTGCCCAGGTTCCTATCCTTGCTCTTTTGAAGCTGATCTACTTTCAATCCTTGGCAAAGCCCAGATCTTCTCAACCAACCACTCACCACAGAGCAGGAAGTAGTATCCTGAATCATTCTATCAAATCAACAGGCCATTTGTTTTCCTTTACTACTCATTAATTCATCAAAGCAAGTGAACAAACCTATTCACTGACTCGTAATAAAACATTTTATTACATTCAAAACACTGCTTTCACAGTGCTGAGCAATGAAGCATCTAAAGTATTAAAGCCAGTTCTTGGTCTATGACCTCCATTTTATAAGGAGCTTAGCCTTCTCACTCATAGAGATTTTCTTTTTCTTTTAACCAATTGATTAATTGATTGGTTGATTTGACACAGAGTCTTAACTCTAGCTCAGGTTACCCTTGAATTCACAAATGGACCTTCCGAGTGAGTGAGTGCCGGGATTGCCAAGTATGAACCAAAGAAGCTTTCTTAGATGTCCTTAATCTCTCTCTCTCTCTCTCTCTCTCTCTCTCTCTCTCTCTCTCTCTCTGTCTCTCTCTCTCTCTTTACATTCCTCATCCCTACAATCCTGACTGGAGCCCAATGTGTGAGGAAAAGTTTAAAGAGGCTAATGAAACTATGGCAGATAAGAAATCTACATGACACTTGCAGAATAAAACACACATCTTCATTTTTAAGCATTTTTTATTTAATTTTTTATCTGTGTGGGTGTGTATAGGGTGTGTGTGAGAGAGCAGTATGGGTGTGAACTGTGAGCAAGAATTCTGGTGCTGGGTCTTAGCCCAACCATAGAAGGCTGAGCTGGGTCCAAGGAAGGGTCCTGCAAACAATCAGACACAACAAGGAGTCTAGTCAAGCAGGAACTCATTTATTGCCCCACAGCAAGCATCTTTTAAAGCAAAAAACCGCAGATCGGAAAACAGCCAGTCATTGGTTTTAAAGATCAGCCTATCATGTGCCTAGGTGCCCTATGCTTTACCTAGTGAACAGGAGCCTTTCATGTAGTGACCTCATCTGGTTCCATCTTGCCAACCAATCACCCTTTTTTATAAACATCTCAGGACTTTCCCTCCTAACTTCTTGGTGACATCTTTACCTGGCTCATGTGCCTATAACAACTGGTTGAGTCTTGTGAAAAGGTTGGGATGCTGCAGGTCCAGAGCCTAATTTCCCTTTATCTTGAGCTAGCTTTTGCCCCCTAGATAGCCATTCTTTGAGCACCTCTATGCCAAACTAACATCATGTAGCTAACAAATAATAATAAAAAAAACCTCTTGAAATCTATTAACTTAGCAGACCACCAGTTTACCCCTCGTCCAAAGCTAAGAATGTCATCATTTTACAGGACAGATTCCCCCACCTTGAAGTAACTCCTGCCTCTCTGATGTTTCCACCAATGTACTTTGAAAGCCTTGATTTATAACTCTCCTTGTCCCATTGTTATAAAAATGCTTCTACATAAGTAACTTGTATTTTGGGGACACCAAAACGCATGTACCAGGCCATGATTACTCATATTGTTCCAGAATAAATCGTATCTTTTATACTTTTGAGAAGACAGCTTATAGTAGGTAATTACCAATACGGAGTCAGGTAGAAATATAAGGGTATTTAATAGGGAAAAGCCTTACTCACAGAGCGAACCAGCCAGCCGGTGGTAGTCTGTACAGCCAGAAGCAAAGA